AGGCCCCTGCAACCGAGGGCGCCCGAAAAACACACCTGGTTTTTGAAGCGCTCGGAAGGCACCGGAAAGCACCCACCAGGCACGCGGACGACCGCCGCAAGCACCCGGAAGGCACCCGGAAGACCCTCCAACGCCCCGTGCAGAAACCTGGAGAGCACTCGAACGGCACCCGTAAGGTAGCTGAAGACCCGAGAACAGCAGACGTGCACCTGATGCACACCTGGTGGGAGCCTGACGATATCTGGCAAGCCCCATCCGCGTATTACCCATTACCTGGGAGAGGCACCCACGGGGCACCCTCCGAACTACTTCAGATCATGTGGAAGGTCCCCGGTCAACCACAGCTCGCACTAATGGTTGGCAACCACCATCATCACCCTCGCCGCTATCACCACCACCATCACCATCGCCATCACCACCGTGACCGCCATCATCGCCATGATTATCATAATCATATTAATCTTTCACATCGCCCACATCATCTCCACCACCATGCCCGCCAACACTCCGATCACCATCATCAACATCAGATTCCTCGTCATTGTTGCCATCCTCGCCACCCGCCCCGTTCTCTCTCCTCCGCATCAAACTGCTCCGCCTCCTCCTCCTCCCCCTCCTCCCCCCCTCCTCCTCCTCCTCCTCCTCCTCCTCCTCCTCCTCCTCATCATCATCATCATCATCATCCGCACTTACTCAATATGAATACTACTCTCCCTCTTCCCCTGATGACGGCTTGGGAGTATTCGACCCCCCCCCGCGTACTGTTTTTCACACACAGGTTTCCCCGGAATTGGGTTTTCGCCCCGGGCCGATTCCGGCGTGCTTCCGCTCGTTCCGAGTCGCGCTCCCGCTGCAGCGCTGGCCTCATTCCCGCGCTTCCGCTCGTTTCGACTCGTGCTCCCGCTGCAGCGCTGGCGTCATTTCCCCTGCCATGCCACGGCATGCAATGCAATGCTAAGTTGATCTACGCTTCGCGGTGCTCTTTTACGCCATGCCACGCCGTGCTCTACAATGCATCGCGTACCCTTTCGGGATCATTGCCCTGCTCGACATCCGACTGTGCTAGTAGAGGGGGGATCTGCGCCATGTTAATTAAGGGAGGGGTAGGATGTCAGATATGACGCGAGCGCACCTAGCTTGCCCTCCACCCCCTCCTCCTCCTCCTCCTCCTCCTCCTCCTCCTCCTCCTCCTCTCCCCTCCCTCCTCCTCCTCCTCTCCTCCTCCTCCTCCCTCCGTCTCCTCCTCCTCCTCCTCCCCTCCTCCTCCTCCTCCTCCTCCTCCTCCTCCATGGGCGCGCTGTCCCACGAAAAACGAACGATCCCCACGAGAACGCCACTTCTCCCGAGAGGCCATCAACCCTTGCCGGCTCATGTCGCCAATTCGGAGCCAGGTGCCCTGGCCCTCGAAATCCAGCGGCCCTCTGCCAGGGCGGCATACGCGCCCTGCCCCAAGGCCCCCTGAACGCCCGACGCGGGTTCTGCTGGCGCTGCTGGGGGCGCCGCGAGCTCGGCCTGCCGGGGCCCGCTCGGGCCGCGCCGGGCAGGTTCTCCCTGCCGAGCAAAAGCGGCCGGCCTCCCCGAACCGCCCTGGAAAGCGCCGCTGGGCGCGCTGCCCGCGCTCTGGGCCGAGCTTGCCGGGCCCCTCGTCGCCCGCCTGGCCCTTACGCGGCCGCGCCCACCGCCACGCTTCCAGGCTCTTCTGTCCTTGCCACCCCCCTTGTCCTTGCCGAGCTTGCCGCCTTCGCCCTGCTCCCCTGTCTCCGCAGGCGCCCCGTGCCTCCTCCGCGACGCTCCGCCCTTACGCCGCCGACCTCGGCTGGGGTCCAAGTCTTGCTCCGCGTGGCCCGAACAGCTGTAGCAAGCCTGCGCCTGCAGCTCCAGCGCGCCGCTCTCCTGCAAGAGCTGCGCGTTCTTCGCGAGGAGAGCCCGCGCGGGCGCCGTGCCCGCAACCGCTCGCGCACCGCGGTCGAGGAACCTCGCGCGAGCACCCCGAACACGCCGCGAGCGGGCATGCGAGGGGCAGCGCGGGGCTCTCCCCCGGAGCGCAAGCAATTGCGCGCGAGCGCGCCCCAGCGCCGAGCTCCTCGGGTGGAGCGCCACCTGCGCCTGCAGGGCCAGCCCCTTTCTTGCTGGGGTACTCTTCTCCGTCAGGGAGCCTCCGTTAGGGAGCTGTCCCTAGGGCCTCCGTTAGGGAGCTGTCCCTCCGTTAGGGAGCTGTCCCTGCAGCGCCGCCGCCTCGCCCTGCAGGCGTGTCACCTCGGTCGTCAGGTCCGGGCGCATGCCAGAGCATGCAAGTGCAGCTCACGATGCGACCCGGCGCCGCCGCGACTCTCGCTCGCGGACGCGGCCTGTGGCCGGAATCCCGCAGAACCGATAGCCTAACGCAGGCCGAGCCCGCGTCGGCCGCTTTCCCGGCGCGCCTGCGCCAGCTCCGCCCGGAGCTTGCCGAGCTCCTGGTCGCGCTCATCCTCGGGGCTGCCGCGCGCCGCCGCAACGCGGCAGTCGCGTCGGCAGCCTTCTGGCGCGCCTCGGCCAGCTCCCTCCGCAGCCTGTCTACCTCCGCGCCGCGCTCTTCCCCCGCGACCCCCCGCGCCGCTGACAGGGACGCTGCTGCCGCGCCCGCCCCAGTCGCCGCGCGCTGCCGGGCCTGCTGCTGGGAAGCCGCCCCGGGCGCGGCGGCGCTCGAAGCCGCACTCTGAGAGGAGTCCGAATTCGAGTCCGACGACGACACGGACGAGCGCGATCGGAAGCGAGACCCTTCGGTCCTCGCTCGCCGCCGCCGCCGGGCGTGCCTGGGCCGCGGCCTCCGCGCGTGCCGGGGCCACGGCCTCCGCCCTGGGCTACATCTAAAGACTCCCCCGCCACAGCGCGAACCCGTGGCCTGTCCTAGCAGCGCCCGCCCTGCACGCGAAGTGCGGACGCCGCCAGGACCAGCCGGCCGCGGCAGCGCAGGTGTGAAGACGGCTGCGCGGCCTGGCGCCCCCAGGACTTCGCCGAGCGGCCAGCCCAGCGGCAAACGCGTGCCCCGCGCAAGCTCCCTCGGGAAACTTCACGCATCGCCCCATGCCTGCCCACACACCCCAGGTTTGCAACCCACGCGCACTCGCGGACCTCAACGCAATGAGGTCTCGAAGCGCCGCGTGCACGCGCACTCCAGGGAGAAAGGCCGGCAGGCCGCTCAGGCGGAAATGGAAGCCTTGTTGGTGCAGTTTGCCGCCTGGAACGTCCAATGCGGAGGTCGACGAGTCCACCTGAACCACTCCGTACTTGGAGTGCCCGCTGATGATAAAGCACCTCGAGCACCACCGTTGTTTTCCAGACAGCACTGCGATGCCGACGGCTTGAAGCTTTAAGCCGAAGAGCCTGATCACCACCGTCCACCCTCGCGTCGCCTGCCTTCGCCGCTGCTCCTCCTCCCCCTTCCTTTCCCTTCCCCTCCTCCGCTGCCGTGCCGTCCTGCCTTCTCCTCCTCCTCCTCCTCCTCCTCCTCCTCCTCTGCTGCTGTGTCGTCCTGTCGTGGCATACGCCTCCTCCTCCACCTCCCTTGTCCTGATCGTCCTCCGATGTATCATCACTGTCGTCATTTTCATACTCCTCCTCCTCCTCCTCCTCTTCTTCATCGTCCTCATCCTGTTGCTCCTCGTGGTGTTCCTCCTGATGTTTCTCATCTTCATCCTCATCTTCCTCCTCATTGTCCCCACCACCATCCACGTACTCTTCACTCTCCTTGGAGATCCTCATCCTTGAAGCTCCTCCTACTCCTCCTCGGATTCCCTCCGATCTTTGACGCATTATCCACCATCTTCTTCTCGATGCTCCTCCTCGTCCCCCTCCTCGATCCTCCTGGATCCTCGACTCTGTTCTTTCATCCTTTTCCCCCGCCTCCTCCTCCTCCTCCTCGATCTTCCACCCTCCTCGTCCTCCTCGTCCTCCTCATCCTCATCATCCTATTTCCTCTCCTCGTCCTGTCCTTCCTGATCTTCCTCCTCGTCCACATCGTTCCACTAGAGCCGAGGGTCACCGGAAGGGACGTGCTGAGCGGCAGTGTCTTGTGCGGATGCAAGAGCGCATCCAACGGATTCAAGTATTGCATTGTTCTACGCTTCCCTCCACCGAGTCGCGCCATTTCCGTCGACCAATTCCAGCTAAGCCATTCAAGGCCTCAGAAGTTTGAGAAAATAGTTGATGTTGGACTCTTCGGCCTGCTGGGGAGTCGAAGAGGTCTCCAAGACGGCTCACGATGCAGCCAAGACAGCTCAAGATGGCCCTCAGCCAGCCCTAGACGGCCCCAAGAGGCCCTCAAGACGGCCCAAGATGGCCCCAAGAGAATATCCAAGCCGGCCTCTTGAGGCCAAACAGCATTGGTTTTCTGGTGGTGTTTGGCAGATTTTAGCGATCTCGCCTTTTGTGGACTTCGGGGGCCCATATAGGCCCAAGCAGCCTCCAGCATTGCTCACAAGCAGATCCAAAGGCCCATATCATGACCGAGAGGCCTCCAAGACGGTCCAAGAGGCCCCCAAGGCGGCCCAGAGCCTCCAAAGAGCGCCAAGCCGGCCCCGAGATACCCACAAGACGGCCTCCGAAGAGGCCGGACGGCGCAAGAGCGCGCCAAAATAGCCCAAGATCCTCCCAAGAGGCCCCACGAGGCCCCAAAGATCCCCCCGAGAGGCCCAAAGAACCCCCCAAGAGGCCTCCAAAAGACTTCCTCAGAGGCTGCCAGCAGGAAGCCGCATTACCCGCCAGTCGAAAGAAGCAGGTGGAAACATCAAGTGGGATGGCGGACAAAGCAGATTGGCTTCGGGCCCGATCGAATCATGTCGAAACACAGCCAAACATACATCGGTTCTTGTTGAAGCAGGGAGGTGCTCGACGTACATGGGGATCTGGACCTCCCAAACTATCTACTGCCAGCGACCCGCGCGCAGCGGCAGCAGCAGGACGAAGCCAACGCCGACGAGCGACGACGAGCGCGCGCGGCCGGCGGCGCGCGTGGGGGGTGCCTGCCCGAGCAATCCGTCGAGCCTGCCAGCCTGGACATCGTCGCCCGGTGCCCACGGGGGACGTCGGTCGTCGTCGTCGTCGTCGGCGGCCCGTCGTTGTTTTAGAGCGCCGTTGGATTTGTTTTTGTAGCTTGGAGGCCCGCTGGTGTAGACTGACAGCTTACCGTGCTAGAACAGGCCGAACAGGAAGAGGAGGACGGGTAGGAGAGAGAGAGAGAGAGAGAGCAGACGTGCTTGGACGTTTGGGGCATTCGTTTCCTCTGGGCACCTGGAGTGCAAGATGACGCTTGGCCGAGGTTCTCGAGGGACCGAGAGTGGTAACGGCTTGGCGTTCCCAGCGGCTGCGCGGATGCATGGCTGGCAGCTCACTTTCAAAATCGCACCCCGCCAGCGCCGCGCACATATTCCCTCAAGCTTCTAAGGTGCGTGGGTGGAATGCGAGTCCATTGGTTCTTTCAACGCTGTGCGGCCGAGTCCTGATTTCGAACCAGGTATCATGATGTTGTCATCGTGCCAACCCAAGCGGTTTCACCTCTCCAATGGGTGCTCTCCGCCTCTCCGCAATGGAAGACGGAATGTATTCACAAGAGGATGCATCTCAGCAGAAGTGCCGCTTGCTAGGATTCCGGTGTCCATCTTCCTCATGGTGCTCCCTCGTCTCTCCTCTCCCCCAAAGCGGGAAGAGATGAGAAGAGGGGGGGGCTGGTGGAGGGGTGGGAGGCCAGTTGGGCGCGCTCCTGCCATATCTGACAACCTGCCCCCTCCAAAGCCATCCCTACCCATTGCGATGAGTCTGTTTCCATCCGCCGATTGGGTGTCCTGACGTACCTTGACCCCCATGATAACACCATGGTGCGACGCGGCATCCCGATCGGCAGAAGGCTGAGGAAGAGCTAGGACGGGGCGGCAACGCCGAGTACCGAAGCGGATCCACGAGTGCGCTCCTCGCGGGGGGGGAGGGCGCCAATCTTCACGACGGGGGCATCACACCGATCCCGACGGGTGGCCAACAATGCCGCGGGAACACACACTTCGGAAGGGACGGGCACGCTCCGAGCGACGACGTGGGCGATGCAGCAGGCACGAATCCCGCATGACGTGGACAAAAACGCGGGAGAGACGGCCGCACCGGACAATATCGGGGGAGAGGGGGGAGCGTACTGCTCTCGTGCTCCGTTATGCTGGAGGCAAGCTGGGCGCGCTTGCGCAACGCGTGGCATCCGACGCTTCCCGCCCATGTCCTCCCACTCCGCTGGACTCGTTCGTATCAGTGGGGCGATCTTGAGAGAGCCTTGGGCCCCAGCATGGCACCCTCGATGCGCAATCAAAAACGGTGAGGGGGGACAGGGTGCACTTTGGAGGAGGTGGCGGAAGAACAGGAGGATGAGCATGAGGAAGAAAAGGAGGGTGAGGAATGAGGGGGAAGGACCAGCAGCAGCAGCAGGAGAGAGGTGGAGAGAGGAAGAACGAACGGGTGGCGCTGACGAGTAACGAACCGGATGCAGCAATCTGCCACGCGCTGGGGCGAGAGCAATCAGTGTGAACGACGGGAGCATCGGACCAATCCTGAAATACGGCCAACGCTGCCACGGGGACACAACTTTTGAAAGGCAGATAACGTTCCGATCGGAATCAGCAACATCGGAAATACCAAACAATGAATGCCCGCGTGCGCATGTGCGTGTGACGACATCCGGTATGCGGGAGAGGCGGAGGCACACCCGGACATTGCACGCAATGAAAAATGGCATACGTATTGAACAATGGTTGAGGGAAGGGGAGTGTAGGTGTGGAGAGAGAGGGAAGAGAGAGAGAGGGGGAAAGAGAAAGAGAAAGAGAGAGAGAGAGAGAGAGAGAAAAAGACAGAGAGAGAGAGAGAGAGAAAGTCAGATAGAGAGAGAGAGAGAGAGAGAAAGGGAGGGGAAGAGAAGGTGGGACGGAGGTGTAGGGGCGAGGCGGAGGGGGGAGGGAGAAGAGGAGAGGGAGTAGGATGTGGAGGGCACGGAAGGGGAGGAGCCAGGGGAGGGGAGAAGCAGGGGGTGGGGAGGGCCACCCGCAGAGGGACGGCAGTGAGCGGTGGCCACTGCAGCCAACATCCCGGCCAGAGCGCCACACCTGGGCAGGCACGCCTCCGCAGGCCAGCGTGCACACTCGATGCTGACTGAAGTGGGCACGCGAGAGGACACAATATCCTTCCGAAGGCCACACTGCCCCAGAATGTAGAAGGCATGGGTCGCGAAACACAGGGTACTTTCCCGTCGCAGCGCGGCAGAGGCGATCCGCGAGCGCGCTCTAGTGAGCAGGCACTAGTTGACTGGCGGCAAGAATGGGGGACGTACACGTCGTTCATTTCTAATATTGCTCGTTTCTAATTGTTCCTGGCCCCCTAGTGGCCAGGAAGAGGCCCAGGATATAACAATTAGACATTAGAGGATCTTGGCCCCCCAAGAAATCAAAGACTTTCGAAGAATTAGACATGAACAATGTGCACCCCTGGCAC